TAGTAGTAGTACGTAACTACGTTAACTAACTAACTACTACTACTACTATATATAGTTATTATATACTACTATATATATATATATATATATATATATATATATATATATATATATATATCTAAATGTCAATGGATAAGTGGTGGGTAAATGATTTCACAGTTAGTTGACAAATGTGAGTGATTAAGTGACAAAATTACATGTGTGAGATATTTCGACGAAAAATTTTGCAGCTCAAGATATGTTTCTCTTATGGAAATGTTGTTAAGTCTTCGACCAAGGTTCTTTTTGTTTAAACAAAATGTTGCTTAACATCAGAAAGTTTTCTAAATGCATCATGAGTCCTGAGACTGTATATACCTCTTGCCGCCAGCATCACAATACAAGTCATACAACACAAAAAAATTGGCTGGGGCATTTTGAAAACACAATTCGGGAGTTAAAAATAAAATAAGAGGCAAGCTCCAAATCCTTTACATAGGGCCACAAATGGGGTGTCTAGCACAGTAACAATTATTCTCATAGCATCATATTATCATGATATCATCACACTAAATTGTTTTACAAATAATATTTGGGGTAATTTCCAGTAAAATGAATTTTATTGAGATAATTTAAGCCCCCCCATGATTATCATAATTAAAAGATCATAATCAAAAGTATATCCAATAATAATGGGATTGTAGTTAAGAACGCAAATTTTTTAGATATGAAACACCAATCTAGATGGTAGCCTACGAATTAAATTTAAAAAGAAAATCTATTATTTCTCCTAAAAAGTAGTTTGAAATTCTATGACTTGTTTGAATTTAGAAACTAAAATTATCACTTACCGAAAAAGTAGGTCTAGAAAAGTGCTTGCCTAAAGAGGAATTGCCTAAAAGCTAGCACCTTAAGGCTAGTTTTCCTTTTTGGTTAACCGAGAAATTTAATGCTAGTTGCAAGGCTTGGAAGTAAAAATTAAAGAATTCTTAAAATTTCTAACATAATTTTATCTTCCAATCGTGTAAATTCATCTACACTTTCTTGAATAAAAAATCATTTTGATAAATGTATTTATTTCAATTAAATATATTTAACTCCATAGAAAAATCCAAGTAAAAAGACCGACATGATAAAATCTGAAAAAAGTACTTCCTCCAATAATATGCCAACAATGACAAGTATAAGGTCTTTAGCACCCCTTTTGCCCTTAATTACAGTTTTACAATACTAGGAGAGACAAAAAGAAATACTAAGAATGGCTTCATAGAGGACACTACTTGGTATGAAGCATAAGCCTCAAGAGTGAGTTGTATTCCTCAAACCTACGTTACATAGATTATTCTGTTTGGATGTTGTACCCATGTCGGACACACACGACACACGTCGTGCTACATATTTCGTTGGATTCTTTTTGTTGACTGACAATTGACTACATCAATAATTCATACTTCAATCTTCTCTTTTGTCTAAAGTGGACATATTTGAACTTAGAAAAACATAGAATTTGACCAAGGCATAGTTGAGTTTTTTTGCCAATCATCCTATAATAAAATATTAATAAATAATGTTGGATTTTTCTATATCTTTATAAGATAGTTTGTATGAACCTTGTTCATCATGGAATGGGGAATCCGATGCCCCATACCTGTTTCTGGCAGTTCCTCAAATATCCATGTCCCTAGAACACTGCCTCAAACAATGGATAGTCACAATTTACTTTCTGGTGAGGCTCAAAGTAGAGACTTAAAGACTTTACACCCTCAAGCTTCAACAATAGTCATTTCACAATTCCATAAATAACAAGCCACAGCAAACAAAATTGAGTAGACTAGAAATGTTTCCCCTTTTCATTTTTGGTTTTTGAAAAATTATAGAATGGGAAAATAAAGTAAGCATTACTGGATTACATTTCAAATATTAGGAATTTAAATTATAACTTGCAATATCATGGAAATAAGAAAAGGTGAAACAATGAAGACTATTTCAATTTTTAATAAAGAGTAATTTATTCCCAAGGAAATTCTCCACTTCAAATAAGAATCCATTCAGATCTTCCATTTTGGATGTTGTCACAACAAGCTTGAAAATAAAAGAACATAGCTACAATACAAATAATAATAATAATAATAATAATAATAATAATAATAATAATAATAATGAAAGAGAAAAATTAGTTCCTATTTTTCAGCATTTTGTCAATATTTTTTACAAGATGAAACAATTACTAACAAAATAAATGCTTATTATTGTACTTATTTTTAGCATAAGTGTGTATTAGATTGAATAAAATATGAGATTGTATACCATGAGACCATGTATTTTTGGTACAAGGAGGTCCCAATTATCCTTAGCCATCAAATTGATATCTAGTGGCTCAAAGTGTGTTGCGTAATTCAATAAATTTTATTTTGAACCTTGTGCCTAGTCAATGACACATCCCCAACCACCCGATTTCACATCTAATGGCCGATAATGATTGTGGCTTCCTTGTATTAAAGATAAATGGTCTTATTGTATACATTTCCATAAAATATAGAACCAAAAGAAAAAAGTTAAAACATAATTTAATTTATAGTTCATCACATAATTATAGTTAGAGCAAAGAAATGAATAGATATACACAAGCAAAGTGCCTCAATAAGATTTTTGGCCCAAGAAAATCCAAGGGAGAGGGTCCCAGACCCCAAAACATCCATTTTGTTTGTTCATGGAACAAACTGTATTTGAATGGAATTTGTTCATAAATTACAAGATTTCCAACATCAAATATATAGACACAAAAACATTTCTGGAATAACAAGGCCTTGACACCCACAATAAAGGGGGGAAAAGGGCTCTAATAAATCCTAAAACCACCATTCTCCCTTGTAGGGCTTCAATGGGCTGGAGAAAATAGTTTCTCAAGGTTGCTTTACTTAATAAGAGGCAAAAGCCTCAAGTTCAATGTGTGCCTCAAACAACATGCTCAAAGGCAACTGGTAACTATACCTCATACCCACCACATGCTTGCACCTAGCCTTTGACACCTGTGGCTTCAAACTCCACACATAGATCACAACTAGAACTTCAACTTAGGACTCAAGTCCTAAGCAACACTGCGCCGATTCAGAAAGTTTCCAATTTCTTTCTCTTTGGGGGTAATTAAAGAAAGGGAAAATAAAATAAAAGCAATTTGTAATCTAATTGCACTAAAAGAGGGACAATAATTATCATTTCACATTTTAAATAAAGTGTGCATTAGATTCAAATATGGAAAATCTTGAATGAAATCTTACTTTCCTTAATAATAATTCTGATGGTTTCTGTTAAAACCAAAAGCTTACAAATAAATGGTAAACAAACTTATTTCGACAAACAAATGAAACCAAATGAAGATTATTCTTATGAAGACAATAAACACATTAAATAAGAACAGCAAAAAATAGTTAATCCTCATGAATGAAACAGGATTGCAACTCAAACAACTTTATTGAATCTTTTACACCATTTTGGGTCTCCCCAGTAGAAGGAAAGAAAAGAGTTGAAGAACAGTTCTCCTATAGTATTCAAAGGGAGTCTGATAATGAGTTTAACTCATTTGACTAAGGTCCCTTCTAGTATGAGTCAGCTAGACTCAAATTGAGTTTTTAAACAGATATATCAAATGCCTCTCTCTCTCTCTCTCTCTCTCTCTTCTTTTCTTTTTTCGTTTTTTCGTTTTAGTTTTACGTTTACTTACTTAAC